AGATTGCTATATGGGATGTTTGGCAGCTACAAGTAGATAGTGCATACTAGAGGTAGAGTACTCATTATTCGGGATTTGGGGAGGAAGACTTGGGACGAATACTGATACGGTGTGGTCGGTAGTATTGGGCCCGTACTACCGAAGACACCGGATCAGTGGAAGACCCAAGTAAGAATCCCTGGAAATCGGAGACTGAGTAGGGCGCGTATCGAGTACCATTGTACTTGGTGGAGTCTCTGATGATTTTATGTTGTATTTCAGAGACATCATGGTCATCACACGCAATGGGGCGAGTTCGAGCGGTGCGAGTGACGAGGAGATTCGTCAGATTATTCAGGAAGAGGTAGCTGCGGCGGTCCGGGCTGAGATCCCGGAGATGTTTGGGTCTATTAAGACCACTGATGGAGGAGTTTGAGGAGCGGTACGCCGCACTTACTGAAGCTGCAGTTGCTGCCGCTACCGCAGCTGTGGCTGCTGCTAGGCCGCAAGGGGGTGATTCATTACTATTCAGGGAATTCAGCAACACGAAACCCCCTGAATTTGATGGGACGCAGGATCCGATTGCAGCTATGAGGTGGATCGCCGACATCGAGGGGTGCTTCTATACTTGCTCATGCCCGGAGCACTTGAGGGTACGGTTCGCCTTGAACCAGCTCCGTCTGGGAGCGAAGGATTGGTGGAAGTTCGTGACGGCGAACTTCACTCAGGCAGAGATTTCGGCGGTGACATGGGAGAGGTTTACGGAGATGTTCAGGGACGAGTACGTTCCCCCGGTGGAGAGGGAGCGATTGATTCAGGAGTTCTTGACCCTTAAGCAGGGTACTGATTCCGTGGCAGTGATCACACGGAAGTTTCATGAGAGGGCAATGTTCTGCCCGAGCTGGTATCTACGGAACAGTCGCGGATGAGCCGGTATTTGGGTGTTTTGAAGAGGGAGATCCGGGAGTTTGTGTCAAACTCCACCTATCGTACTTTCACTGAGCTTCAGGCGAACGCCAGGAAGCGCGAGATCGAGTTGGAGACTCAAGCGAGGGAGGAGGCTGAGTCTCGGCAGGTGGATCGACGGCCGGCTCAGTCTCAGCCGGCAGCCAAGCGGACTAAGTTCGCTGATTCGAGGATGGGAGGTCCGAAGGGTCGCACTTGCGCGAAGTGCGGCAAGAGTCACGAGGGGGTGTGTCGAGCTGGTGGTTGCTACAAGTGTGGCAAGGAGGGACATATTGCCAGGGATTGCCCTAAGGGGTTTATGGTTTGCTTTCACTGCAACCAGACAGGCCATCGGAAGGCCGAGTGTCCGCAACTTCGTCAGGGAGCTACACCTACTACCCGGACTACTGAGACCCGACCGGCGAAGGTCGAGGCCCCGAGGGCTCGCGGGAGAGCCTTTCAGCTGACTGCGGAGGAGGTCCGCGCTGCGCCCGATGTTGTGGCAGGTATGTTATCATTCACGTATTTACTTAAAGGTCGAAATGCTATGCTTATGTTAATGTATGTGTAGGTACTTTCCTTGTGAACTCTATGCCTGCTCTAGTGTTATTTGATTCGGGTGCGAGTAGATCGTTTGTATCGTTAGCTTTTAGTCAGCACATCGGCATTAGTCGTGAGCCGTTAAGTCGGCCTTTGAGCGTTTCTATTGCGGCTGAGAGGGTGATTTGTGCTACGGAGGTTCTTCGGGGATGTGTGCTAGAGATCTTCGGGGTCGCGTTTCCGATTGACCTCATTCCTATTGCGATGGGGGATGTCTGTGTCATTGTAGGCATGGACTGGTTGAGCCGATTCAGCGCTGTTATCGACTGCGAGCGTCAGCTGGTGACTATACGAGACCCTAGTGGGGGAGTTCTTACGGTATACGGCGAGGGTACCCGTTCGGGATCAGCTTTTTGTTCGGCCGCTAGGGCGAGGCAATGCCTACAGCGGGGATGTAACGGTTTTGTGGCGTATGTGATGGATACGCGGGAGAGTTCCGAGAGACCGAAGACACTGAAGGAGGTTCCAGTGGTGCGCGAGTTCCAGATGTTTTTCCCGAGGATTTGCCGGGAGTACCTCCTGCGAGGCAAGTGAGTTTGGTATCGATCTAGTTCCAGGGGCTGCGCCTATTGCGAAGGTGCCTTATCGTCTTGCACCTCCAGAGATGCAAGAATTGTCCTCGCAACTTCAAGAGTTGTTGGGGAAGGGATTTATTCGGCCGAGTAGCTCGCCGTGGGGAGCACCGATTCTGTTCGTCAAGAAGAAGGATGGTTCACACCGGATGTGTATCGATTACCGGGAGCTGAACAAGGTGACAGTCAAGAACCGCTATCCGTTACCGAGGATCGATGATCTATTCGATCAGTTGCAAGGGGCATCTTGGTTTTCCAAGATTGATTTGAGATCAGGGTACCATCAGGTAAGAGTGCGGGATGAGGACGTCCAGAAGACAGCCTTTAGGACGCGGTATGGGCATTACGAGTTCGTGGTGATGCCTTTTGGGCTCACCAATGCCCCAGCAGTGTTCATGGATCTCATGAACAGGGTATGCAGGCCGATGCTGGATCGGTCTGTGATTGTATTCATCGACGACATTCTGGTGTATTCGCGGTCTAGGGAGCAGCATGAGGGACATTTGAGGGAGGTCCTTGAGGTCGGAGAAGCTATATGCAAAATTCTCCAAATGTGACTTCTGGTTACGGGAGGTTCAATTTCTGGGGCACGTTGTAAATCAGGCAGGGATATTGGTCGATCCGGCCAAGGTGGAAGCGGTGATGAGTTGGGAGGCACCGAAGTCACCTTCGGAGATCAGGAGTTTCCTTGGGTTGGCGGGGTACTATCGAAGGTTCATTAGGGACTTCTCCAAGATCGCGGTGCCGCTTACCAAATTGACCCGAAAGGGTGTTACATTTTCATGGGGACCCGAGCAGCAGACTTCCTTCGAGACACTTCGTCAGAGACTGTGCGAAGCACCAGTATTAGCTCTCCCGGAGGGATGGAGGACTTTGTCGTATATTGCGACGCATCGATTTCAGGACTGGGTGCAGTGTTGATGCAGAGGGGCCATGTGATAGCCTATGCATCGA